GCATTTCAGGGAGGTCAAATTTCTCTCCTACAACTTTTAGAGGCACCTTTTGAAACTTTCCAGTTAAGATTTTCAAAAATCTGTACGAAAAAATAGCCCCAGAGGAAAGTCTATAATATGGCTGTCAGTGAACTTGACTTTCATCATAAAATGGAAACATCATCGAGCATTTTCTCCTTTAGCCAGAAATTCACATGGGGCTTTGGAGCAGCTGCCTTGTAATAACTAGTCAGAAAAAAAGTTACCCGAATCAATTAGTTCTCATCCTAATCTTTCTGGCTTTCAAGTCAGATGAAAGGATAATCACTTTTATACATTTATTTATGAAACAAGCTATAATTTTTCAAATACATAGGTATAAAAGGGGATTACTGAACTTTGGTAGTGTTATTTTAAAAAACAAAGATTGAGGCCCGGCGCAGTGGCTCACGCCTATAATCCCAGAACTTTGGGAGGCCAGGGCATGTGGATCACTTGAGGTCAGGAGTTCAAGACCAGCCTGACCAACATGGAGAAATCCCTTCTCTACCAAAAATACAAAATTAGCTGGGCATGTTGGCCCATGCCTGTAATCCCAGCTACTCAGGAGGCTGAAGCAGGATAATCGCTTGAACTCAGGAGGCGGAGGTTGTGGTGAGCTGAGATTGTGCCATTGCACTCCACTCCAGCCTGAACAACAAGAGCAAAACTCCATCTCAAAAAAAAAAAAAGACTGGCAAATTTCAAGTTAGTTCTTTTTCTCCCTATATGTGAAAAAAAAATGAACTAACATAAGCATTCATTAATTTATTCAACAAACCTTTATTGATGCTCTATTACATGTTATCCACTATGTTGACCGTTGGCGCAAAATAGAAAAATAAATGCTTTTTCCATGCCATAAATGGGCAAACAGATGTCAATGGTGAGCTAAGGGCTCACTATATAATAGAATTAGAGCTGCTGTATATAATAGATGCAAGCGACCCAGGTCATCAATGAGCTTAAACTCTTCATTTCTCTTGCATTCCTCTTGCTTAAAAACTGTGATTTTTTTAATCCATTGCTTTCCAAAAAGGAAAGACAGAGCAAGAAGATATTTCCACTGCCCTTTTCTTTCCATATACAGAAATGAGAGCTTGATCTAACTTTGGATTCTATTCCTCCCTCATCCACCGAGCAAGTAGAATGGAGAAGGATAATGAATTACTGAGAAATAAATAGTAAATAATTGGGGAAATGTTGTCAGTTGCTTTAACAAAAGAGAACTCCAAATAATTAATTTTAGAATCTCTCATTCCTATGCTTCATCTTTTTCACTCTGAAAAGAAGAGGGGAGGGGGAAACAGAGATCATTCTTAGTAGCTGTTAAGTGTATTTAACAGAATTGTGAGGGAAAGATAGTGTTCATAAAATTTCAACCATGAAATGTGTGTAAAGCCCAAGGATGCTAAGTTTTTTGCCATGTCTGGTAGTTATAGAAGTACTTTAACTTATGTAAGTACTTGGCCAGTTGACCATTTTGCTCTCTGTTGGCGATGGTAAAGGAGAAGGCTGTGTCTCGACTATATTAGAGGCTCAATTAGTGGTTGTTGAAGCTGAAAGAATGATTTGGCATTTGGGGACTTTGTATGCATATTAATAGGTGCTCAATACAGTAGTGCCTGCTAAATAATTGATGAGGTCTCTCTAAAGACTCTTGATGATGAGACCTAGGGATTAACAGAACAAAAGTGTTTCTCATTCAAACACAGTATGTCCAATATTACTGCAAACAAATCTCATTCATGCATAACCTGAGAGGTTTGAAGGGAAAAGAAAGATGAACAAGACCTTACCCACACCCCACCACCTCCATTGCAGCCAGGAGGTCTGCACGTGGCTTCATGTGGCCCTCTCATTTTGACTCCCATAAACAGCCTCCTTACGGACTTCTAACTCCTGAACGTGCTATTAAACCCATCCTTCTCAGAGCCCCCAAATGGCCTCCACAGAATGGAATTCTCTGATTACACCTTGCTTAAAATTCTTCAGTAAACCCTGAGAACCAAAGTTCAAATCTTGTAATGGGTTATGTGAGGCTCACCCTTATCTGTCTCGTACTGCCTCTGTGATCATGCTTTCATTTGTTCGGTTGGTTTTGGTTTGGGTTGGGTTTTTTTGGGTGGGCATAGAGGGGTTTTTGTTTTTGCCATCAGGTTGCAGCAACACAGAGTAGTTTCTAGTTCTTGCTGTCTCCTGGTCATTCCTCACTAAGCTGAGCTGGACTTGGCAGGCCCCTCCTCTTTCTTTTCCTCACTTTTAAGCCTTTGCTTTGGTGTCTCCTCCTCTAGCAAGCCTAAGACAAGTCTTAGGTATCCCCCTTTCTGACTCCCTCATGTGCTCAGACTATCTTAGCTCTGATTTCCAAGGCATTATGACCTTATTTGGCTCCCTTACTAATCCTCAGCACTTCTGTGTCTTAGTCATCCCTGTATCCCTATCAGATTGGCACAATGTGGCACACAGTAACTACTAACAGATTTTGAATTAATGAATGAATAAATGAATGCTCAATGGCTGTTTTACAAGGGGGAAGGTTACAGCAGCCAAGTTAAGAGTTAATGGCCTAAAACAGCCTTGATGACCTCTTTTCTACTTCACCCCATCAGCTACTCTTAGGAGATCTGTGAGTGTGTAGAAGGTGACTTTGGACCCCAAAGGGACACTGAAACTTCTCACCTGAGCATAGTAAAGCAGAGAGCATAAGTGGCTGATATTTCCCCTCAACTATCCCTGAAAAATCAAGCCCAGTATATGCCCGCAGAAGTTCTCAACTCTACCACTATCACCACCACCAAGTTCTTAATGGCAAAAGAGGGTGAACTCATTCCTAGGAGTCTACAAGTTCGTAGTATCTTTAACATGTAGGGTTTTATCTTTTAAATTCATGAAAATTTCCCAATCTTTCTATAAAATGAAACAGATTTTTATAAATCACTTACCAGCGAAAGGATCTAATTCCCCTGTCCACAGGTACACATCTTAATTAGTAAAACCAAGATTTCAGAAGGTACCCCATATTTCTTTTATAGCTTCCCACCCTTTTCCAAATCCCCCCGAGGTGCCTCCTTAAGAAGTATAGGATATAATACAGCTCCTCTACATATAATGTATTCCTAAAACCAAAGTATTGGTCATAACTCATTTTAAAAATCTAAAATGAACTTTGAAAGGAGGTAGAAAACAAAGGGAAGCGGCCTTGTTTCCAATATAAATGCTAGATAACACTTCACACTTATAGACCTAATGACTCGAGTGATGTCATACCATCCCCAATTCCTAAAGCACTTCCAGTGAATCCCACTGTTTCCATAGTTCCTCAAGGAAGAAAAAGTACTTCCTGGTCATTTCTCTCTTGGCATCACTTCACATAAAAAAGCTGGACTCAAATATATTTGCATACATGCAACAAGATATTCAGTACAGCATTCTTTGGAGTAGAAAAAAAAAAACACCTGGAAACTTAAATGACCATCAATAAAGGACTGGCAAAATAAATGACAGCACATCTAGACAAGGAGGGCATAACATGCAGAATATCGTGCGGCTATCAAACAAAATGAGGTAGATTCTTGCTACATGTTCATGCATTGCAATAGCTTCAGGAGATGTGGTTAAAAGAAAGCAAGACACAGAACAGGTGTGATTTCTACAGAAAAGGTAAAAAAGGTGGCCTCTATGGAAAACTAAGTTACTAGAAGAGGAATAGTTATTTCTTATTATATACATTCTTCCATTGCTTAAATTTTTCACTATCTGTATTAAATTTTCAAAAAATAGTGTGTATAAATGTGCATGCGCGTGCGCACGCACACGCACACACACACACACACACACACATTTAAAACAAAAGCTATCCGGAGGAAGTAAAGGCAAAAGGAAAGAGGAAGGGCGAAGCCTGGCTCACTCTACCCAGCCTACTCGTGACTTCTGGTGCCATAACCCAGCACCTTGGGTTTCTGTGATTTCTCAATCTTAGCAGCGCTGTGCCTTTTTTAGAGAGGAGGAACATCAACCACTACAGATGATGCAGTAAAGTGCCCCCACATCCAAAATGCAGCTTCTCTTTCCCAATGTTTTTTAGAACCTTCTCTTCATGAGCTGTACTTTTAATTAAAGCACATCTCAAAGCTTCTATTTCCTTGTCCCTATACAGCAATTGGCATATGCTGCAAAAAAGTCAAAGAAAATGTTTGTGAAAAGCATTTCTTCCACATGAAGTACCAAACCGCCTGGGCATTCTTGACAATAAACTCTGGGGAAAGAAGCTGTTTGCACTTGGTCCCGCTGGCCAGTTACTTGGTGAAAAATTCTTCTGAGGGCATAACGCTCATCAGTAGTCCCACAACAATTTGGGAAGTGCTGCCAGTATTTAGTGAACCCCATAAATGAAATTAGGCCAGTGTTCAAGCCAATCCATGCCAAGGAGCCAAGAGGAATAATTAAAGGAGTGAATATTTTATTCTTTAGTGTTTAATTGAATACATAACAAGTCACATAATCAATGATTCATTACTTCACACACAGGAAGGAAAACAGTATCTAGTATTTCTGTTATACAACTTGTTGTGAACAGAGAGAACAAAAATCTTTACAGCATTAGATGGTTGAAGAAAGTCTCAAAGTTTGGGCATGTGTGAAAAGACTTCATCATTTTTCAATATAATAGGATTTTTTCTTACATTTGTGTCATTAGAAAAATCTGATAATCTTATAACAATTTTTTTCTACTCTTCTTACATTTAGAGAAAATGGCTTAATGATATGTACTACTTAAAATTTCAGAATCCCAGATAACTCTGTGTGAATCTTACATTATCTAGCAGATAAGGTTTTCAGATGCCTGGAAAAATTTAAACAATATATAATTTACATCTTCAAAGTTAACATCCATGATGGATGTTTTAATACTTTGTCACTAAATGGTTACTTAC